TCTCTGACGTCTCCACACGTAGACAGTACCAGCCAGCTGCAGCGCAGACCTAGTCCCCGCATGCCTGTAGTCCCCATGCAGAAGGCAAGCCCTGTTAGAATCTCAGTTCCATCGTCTACAAAACCAGCCTTGACTACACCTTTTAATCAGAGCATCGCAAATGTACACTACAAAAAGCCACTTGCTGGACAAAGGGCGCCACCTGGTGGTCACAACTCAGAAGTCCACTCTCGCAGAACACGTCCAGTCCCGAAGGGGGCGCAGCATTTCACAAAACTAAAGGGACCAAGAAGGGAAAAGAAAAAAACCAACCCATCTTTCGGTTTATTGAAGGAGGAAAAGGAGTTGGGGGCAATAAAATGCTTTTGCTTCGTTTATAAAGAGCGAGTTCTCAGGAGGTCCCTTCTCAAGGACAAGGGGGGTACCTCTCTCCCAACTACCAACAGCAGGAAAGCCAAGCCAAGAAAGGAGAAGGAAATTGGGGGGCCCAGAACTCCAAACACCCGCTCTGATAGGAGCCACAAGCTCTCTCCCCCCACCCACAATGTATCTACCCCAAGGGACTCATCTGGGCAGAGGAAGAGGGTATTATACACAGGTCGGGGTTACTGGGTTGGGAGGGGTAGGGAATAATTTATCCGCAGCTGCGGTGGGCGGTCAAGGGGGAGGGAAAAGTAGCCTGGTTGGCAGCGGCGGCCTAGGGGTCCCTTTCTTTCTTGACCTTGATGTCTCCAGCAAGGATTGTAGCGATCTCACCCTGCATGAAAGCCCAGGGGACAGAGGAACCCACCAGCGGACATTTGTCTCCGCTGGGGCAGTACACCTCTCCAGCGGGGCCCTGTGCCTTGATGAACTCCCGGGAGCAAGGAAAGCAGAACTTGTGTCCGGGAACCGAGGGACACTGAACGAAGTGGGTGTCTTCCAGCCTCTCTCTGCACAGGGTGCAGCACAAGGGAGCTCCGGGGGTCGCCCCTGGGCCGCTCCCACCCCCGCTGACAGCTTCAGCCCCGGCTGTGGGGCTGACTTCTGCCTCTCCATTGCGTGCCACCAGGCGATGCTGGGTCGGTGGCTGGGTAGTGGAGGAAGCGGCTGGGCTGGCGCCCCCTGCGCGCACAGGGCCTCCACCCCCACCAGGGTCCTTGGGTGAGTGGCCCAGGGCTTCTGCCACATTCTTGAGGGCAGCAATAGGTGAGGGCACCCCGGGGGTCTCTGTGGAGTACGGACCACCCGGTGCTACCCAGTGCCGCTGTTGCTGCTCCTCTGTGGTCATCTTCCCAGCTGTCTCGCCCTCGGGCTCAGGGGATGCCTTGCGACGGCGTGGCGTGGGCGCCAGGTTCCGGGATGGGGCTCGCGGCGGCGGACCACACAGGGCGGCGGGGGCCGGTTCTGGGTATTGCTGGGGCAGAGCCTCCGCGGGAGCAGGCTCTCGAAAGCTTCGGACCCCGTCGGTAAGCAGCTCTCCCAACTGGCGCCATTCCCCTGAGCCATGGCGGCGTTCATATTCGAGGTACTTGAAGCCCGAGGAGGCCAGGGCCTTCCCCGGCTCTCGAAGAGCATCATGAAACATCTGGCGAGCCACTGCAAGGACCCCCGCGTACACATTGCCAGAACCACAGGGGTATTCGGTGAAGAGCTTCAGCTCGAACTCATAGCCAGGAGGGCGGGCGGTGGCATCAAAGGCAAACACCCTCCCCACCAGCCCGTGGTCCTTCTTGAAGCGGACATTGAAGGGAGCACAGGCGGAGAGCGCCAGTAGCTGCTCCCGCACTGCCTTGGGACGCCCATGCCACTCCTCCGCCCGGCCCCGCATGGCCTCGTTCAGTTCTGCCAAACAGTCCGCATTCCTCTGCTGCTTCTCCTTCTCGAAATCGGAGCCGAAAAGTGGACGAGCAGGGCTTAAGCCAGGTGCCAGCGTCAGGGCTCGGCCTCCGAGGCCAGACACTGCAGCTGCCAGCAGCCCGGGGGGCATCAAACTGGGGATAGAGCCAAGCAAAGCCCTGCGTGCCCCTTCCGCCACGGCCTCCTCGCGGCCCAGCCCGTTGGCCAGACGGGACCCCAGGGTGTACTCCAAAGCCGGCGAAGGCAGCGCCAGGCGGCTGGATGAAGTAGCCCTGTCATAGCGGTCCGGACCTGAGACGCTACCTCCGGTCCCCGATGGCTGCGCCTGGGCCTGCGGGGGTGGCAGCTGGGAGCTCTGGGAGCCCGTGGAGGCCAGGTCCTTGGAGGTCGGGTGCTTGAGAGCCGGGGGTCCCGGGGAGCGGCCCTCGGGGAGCACGTGGCTGCGCTTGAGCTGGCGGGCGGCGTCGATGAGCAGCTCGATGCGGTCCGCGCCCTCGAAATTCACGCACCCGCGGCAAACGGCCTCGCTGAAGTCCCACACCATGGCCCACGGCATCTTGGGCAGGTCGCACAGGTAGCACCACTGGCGGCGGGACGCTTGCACGGACGCCATGGCGCCCCCCGGAGCGCCGCCAGGTGCCCCCGCTGTGCACCCGCCGCCCACGTTCGCTCCGCCGTGCCCGGGGACGGGCGCGCGAGCCACTCAGTCCGGCCTCCGGCTCGGCCTCCCCGCCGGATTCAGGCCCGGCCCCCCTTCCCCGCCCCCTAGGCCCTCAGCCTTTTTTTTTTTTTTTTTTTTTTTTCTCACTCCCGCCTCCCGTGGAAAATGCAAGCCACGAGCACGCACGTCGGCGCCCCCGTCCGGTCCGCGCAGTGAGCCAAGATGCACTGCTCCAGCTCCTCGATGGGCCTCGGGCGCCGCCGCCCCGGGCTCCCGCCGCTCGCGCCGTCGCCGACGCCGCTGCAACGGCCGCCTTCGCCTCCACCTCCTTCTTCTGCCCCAGAGGCCGCTTCGCAGGGAAAGTTACATAACGCGCGGGCAAAGCCTTGTGGGAAATGTAGTCCCGTCGGGGTTGCTTCTTAAAGGGGACTAGGCAGAAAGCAGTGGCGGGAAGAAGAGGGTGCGTGCTGGTCTCTGGGTGCTAAACACTCACTGTGTTTCGCTTAGAAGCCGGGGTTAGCATCCAGTGTCCAGGGAATGGGTAATGGATTCAGAAATGCTTGGAGCGGACAAGTTGCTGCAGGGCATGCAATTTGATTTGATTTCATTTGAGACTTGGGTTTATTCTTTAGCTTAGGCGGGCCTGGAAGGCTAGCCTGTGTAGCCTAGAATGGCCTCACGCTCGCGGCAGTCTTCCTGCTTCAGCCTCCTTAGTGCTGGGACTACAGGACCGTGACTCCAAACCCAGAACCCAGAACGCAGTTTCTGCTCTGATTTGCTGAGAGGTTTTAGAAAAGAAAAAAAAAAAACAAAAAAAAACCTTGCCCTCTCTGAGAATCCCGCCCCTTCGAGACGGGCCAATGACGGGTTAGAAGGGCTGCAGCTTTCTGAGATGGGGCGGAGAGGTTCTGATTGGACGGCTTCAAGAGGATGGTGTATCAAGAGGATGGTATCAAGAGGATTGTCTACTTAGCACTTTGTCCCCCCCTAGAGTTTAGCCTCAAGGGCAGTCCCCAGGGCAGAGGATGAGACGGTGAAAGCTTCCGAGCCAGGCGCCTGCCTTAGTTTCCTCATCTGTTAAAGGGAGTTCACCGAGCGCCTTCACAATTCTGTTCCAGCTGTGCACGCGCTTCGGTCTCCAAAGGGTTACACAGTTGGCTTCTTGACGCTTCCCAATAGCACTACATTTCCCAAAATGCTCTGCGAGATGGGCGAATTGACGCACTTCCTCTGCCTGGAAGCTTGAGGGAGGCCTTCCCGATTCTTGCTCTCCCCACCCCCTTTCTTTCCCTTCTTTGCTAGCAGGGCTTTTTTGTTTTGTTTTGCGCTGTGGCGCAGAAGGGTTCCCTTATTGCCCTCGTATTTGGAATGAAGGACCCAAGAGGAGGTTTCTGGGGAGGGCAACACCAGATCCTCAAGTGCCTAATGACCTGGTGGGCCCAGTGTGGCTCTGGGCTCCCATGTTTTCTCTCGCAGATTTGGGGGGGGGGAGCAGGGGTGAGGGGAGAAGCGATGTATGTGTCCTAGCTCCATCAGCCCTTTCCCTTCACTGGGCCTGGGTTTCCGCTGGTGTTTAAAAAAAAAAAAAAGTCTTGTCAGTTTGCATTCAATGGAGGCTGCCTGCTTTCTCACCCCCACCCCAGGATTGTCACAGCAGCTCTGGCTTTCTATTTCAGCGTCTCAATTTTACCTACCACCTGCATTACTATTTTAACGCTTTTCTCCTTTAAACAAATTGCCTATTTTTGTCGTTTCCTGGGAGATACTATGTTCACAACCATTGGTACTACTGTTTATTTACTTTCTCCTGCTTATTCTTGGTGCTGGGACGGAATCCAGGGCCTTAGTGCTCTTCCACGGAGCTGTACTGCTAGCCTGCATTTTTTTGTTTTGAGACTGGGTCTTACTACCTGGCCCAGGCTGGCTGGCGTGAGGCGCTGGATCCTCCTGCCATAACCTCCTGAGAGCTGAAATTTTAAAAATACATCTCCATGCCTGGCTCTTATTTTTTTTCTCTTAAAGATAGGTCTCACTCTGAAGTACTCATGGCAATCCTCCAGTGTCAGCCTCCTTAGTAATGGAATTGCATGATCCCCTGCTGAAAGTTTTTAAAATTGTAAAGGCGTATTTCCTGCACACTTCCTGGGAGTCTGACCCTCGGGCAGCTGTCTTGTCTTTGCCTAAATCAACCACCTAGGTTGCTTTATGAACTACTCTCTTAACACATCACCGCATGATCCCTAGTCTTTAGTTCGTAACATTCTTTGGAAACTTTTTCTCTGATACATGGTCTCGTTATGCCGTCAGCCTCCCTCGTGTAGCTGGGGTTACAACTACCTTCAGTCTGGGCTTCTACACTAGAATTAGTTAAAGCTTTTAGAGGAGTTAGAAAAAATACCCACCCTCCTCAAATCCAGGAGGCGTGTCCTCTGGGAAGGTGTGGCCTACCGTGGGAAGGGTGCTGGATTCCCAAGGCCTGTCTCGGAGCCTCAAGTTAATTGTATGAAAATAAGTTTATTGACATCTTGTCAGCACTGAGGAGAAAAGGGGGGGGGGTGTCTGAGCTCTGGAGGTCAGACACGCCACGCAGCAACGGGAGGCACAGGACCCCATTATACTTCCCCAGTCAGAATTCTGCCTCCCTTTCCCTAAAGTCCTCCACCTTCTATGTTCTCATTTGTCAAGCAACTCCCACCCCCTCCAAAGGATTCCGGGCTGGGGGAGTGGGGAGCGTTGCTTCTCTTCAAGTCAAGAACAGCAATGATTTCGAAGGGGCATGTCGCAGAGCCAGGAGGTCCCCCTCCCACCCCACCAAGGGTAATACAGTAACATAAAATTGATGGCTTAGAAGTTGGGGTTACAGGAGGCAGTCGGGCAGACACCGCCTATCCGAGAGAGGGGCTGAGGGAGTCCACCCGGGCACTCACCCAGAGAAATCAGGCACTAACTAGCACAGGAAGTGGGGTGCTCACTCCCCTAGAGCAGGAAGCCAGGGTGCAGCAGGGTTGGGCAAAGAGCATCTTCCTCCTCGACTGCGCCAAGCAGGGAGAGGGGTTGCAGGCAGGAGCATAGACAGGAGTAGGTTTCACGGAGACTTCCAGCGGCCCCGCCTTTTCCGAGAAGGGAAACCTTTCCTCCTCTTGTGTGGGGGTGAGTCGTGGAGGGGAAGTGGTGGGGCTGAGGGGGGTTTGGGTACCCCTTCCTCACTCCTAGGGGCCATGATCACTCCCCTAGCTGCCACTACGGCCCCATCCACGACAGCAGCTACCACGGATACAGGCTCTGCGGTGATCTCCACCTTGGGGGCAGGTGATGGCAGGACCGGCTTGGGAGGTGGGGGCGGAGGTGGGGGTGGGGGCGGAGGCAGCGGCTCAGCTGGGGTTCCTGGCAGAAGGGGTAACAGGGCGCTGAGGGCCTCGCTCAGTTTGGCCAGTCCCTGCCGAAGGGTGCCAGCCAGCTCCCTGATGGCATTGGCAGTCTCCTGCTGAGCCCGCAGGAAGTCCAGGGACTGTTCCGGGGCTGAGGTGGGTGGCGGCGGCGGCGGCGGAGGAGGAGGGGGGCTAGGGCATGATGGTGCCACTTGGGCCAGCGGCGTGGGTGGCGGTGGAGGAGCAGGGAGCGGAGACAAGGCCAGGCGGGGCAGCTGGACAGGCTGCATGGCTGCAGGGGACGGGGCCTCACGCTCCTTGGCTTCCTGGGGATTGCACGGGGGCCGGGCCCAGGACTCTGGGCTGCTGGAGGCCCCCTTGCTCTGCACTGGGGCATCTGTAAGAAGAGAGACCTTGGGTAAGTTATAATGAGTCTGTAAGGTTTCAATTCCAGTTTTTGGCTTCCTGGCCCCAGAGCAACCTCTCAGTCCTTCCTTCTTCAGTGAATGGGGCTGTGTGGTACAGGCTTTCCTGCAACTCCTGATCCTCCCACATCAGTTTCTAAGTGCAGGCATTACGTGGGCACTGCCACACCTGGCTAGAGTCAGGCTTTCCAAGGGTCACACCCTCCAGGCACACTGGCACATGCCTGTTAACCCTGGTACTTAGGAAGCCAAGGCAGGAGATGGAGAAGTTGAAAGCCTTCATCCACTACACACCCAGGTTGGACTACATTAGACCATAGCAAAAAGAAGGGGGAAAAACCCCATAAGACCTCTTCCACATCAGCACACGCGCGCACACACCCCCACCCCCAAAAGCCAACCTAAGTAACAGAGACAGCCCTGTCTCAAGCACATCAGGGAACACCCATGACATCATCCTTGGATGCAGAGGAGTCAGGAGTCGATGCATTAAACCTGGTGGCATGCTTTAGTGGACAAAAGCCTTGAAAGCCTGACCCCTAGGTAGCAAGAGTATCTGGACACTCATCCCTACCCCTCAGCTGGAGTCCCTGGAAGAGGGAGTGGCTGGCCCAGGGGTCAGACTTCCAGAAGTTCTCTCTGGCCAAGATGGCGGATTTCCTAGTTCCATCCCAGCCTGCTTGGCCTTTAGGACCTTCACTCACCTGAGACCTCATTCACATTCTTGGACCATGTCCTGAGTGAGCTGAACCTCTTCCCTGAGTTCAAGCAGCTCTCAAGTGTCAGTGGGGGTGGAGTAGTGGTCACTGTCTGTGCATTGTCTAATGACACCTCAAACTCACTCCAGGACTGAGCCCTTGATCCCAGAAGACACCAGTTCCAGCCTTCCAGTTTCTGGGGCTAAAATAACTTCTTTATTCCCCATTCTTCTTCTCCTACCCGGAGCTGGACCACAGTTTCATTCAAATTATGTATGTGCTCTATCATTACGTCACAACTGAACTCCTTCTATTATTCTGTGTGGGGTGGGGGGAGAGGAAGCATGAACACATATGTACATGTATGTGGACTGACCAGAAGTTTGCTGATTTGGTTTGGCTGGCTAGCGAACGTCCTCTAGGGGCCTCCTGTCTTCCCCTCTTCTGTGCTGGGATTTCACACATGGGAACTTATACCACCGGGCTTTTGAGCCTGGGTTCTTGGGATTGAATTCAGGACTTCCTACTTCCGTGGCAAGCATTATTACTAACTGAGCGCTCTCTCTCTCTCTCTCTCCAGCTCTAGGGTTTGTTTTTGGCTTTTTTCGAGACAGGGTTTCTCTGTGTAGCTTTGGCTGTCTTAAAACTTGCTCTGCAGACCAGGCTGGCCTCCAACTCTCAGAGATCTGCCTGACTCTGCCTCCCTGAGTTCAGGGACGTGTACCACCGTGCCCAGCTAGTTTTTTAAGATTTAAGTTTAATTCTATATATGTGTGTGCCTGTGTGGGTATGTGCAGGTGGGGTGGAAGCTCTGGAGGCCAGAGGCCCCTGGAGCTGGTGTGCCAGGTGGTTGTGAGCCCACAGGCTTGGGTGCTGGGAACTGAACTTGGGTCCTCTGCAAACAGTACTCTCTCTCTCCAATTCTGAGACAGGGTTTCTCTGTGTAGCCCTGGCTAGCCTACCACACCAGCCTTGAACTAAGAGATCCACCTGTCTCTGCCTCCTGAATGCTGAGATTAAAGGCATCTACCACCATGCCCAGCTCAGAACACACTCTTAACTGCTGAGCCATCTCTCCAGCTCCCCTTCTTTTGAAACAGGGTTTTGCTAAACTGTCCAGGCTGACCCTGAACTTCCAACTCTGCTACTTGAGCCTCCTTAGGAGCTGAGATCACAGGCCGGCACTGCCACAGCTGGCTCCTTTACCTTACTGAAGGCACTATCCTGGTGTAGACGCTCTTCCACATAAACCTGATTAAATCCAACACCCAATCTAGAAGCTTCTGACGCCACAGCCCTGGCCTTCTCCAAACCCCTGGACTCCCTTCCCTCATCTAGCACATGCTCAGTCCCTTCACCAACATCAGCCTTTCAGGGGCCCACCAAAACATAGCCAGACGCCAGGAAGCCACCAAGGCACAAGTGACTGTGCTGTCTGCTTCCTCTTACACAAAGTGTCTAGAACATGCTGACAGACGCAAACAGTGATCAATGGCTGCCTAGGCTTGTGGGGCAGTTGGTGTGGTGGCCTCCAGGCCTGTAGACTCTAGTGCTTCCTCCTCAAGGAGACATTCCTTAGCTGTTTTTTTCAAGTGGCTGCCAGTCGTTCCCCAGCTCTGCCTTCACCCCTCAGTGATGTCTCGGAGCACTCATTTCCCCCGGGCATTCAGTCCATGTTTGTTGTCTAATCATTCTAGGTGAGCTCTACCAGCTAAGGCTTCCTTGTGCTCACAGCTGTTTTCCCAGCCCAAGGATGGGACTCCAGGCCTCATACAAGCTGGCAGGTGTGTACCCCTGAGCTATACCCCCAGCCCCTCACTGGGGAATTCTACGCAGGGGCTTTACCACTGAGCTACTGGCCCAGCCTTTTTTTTTTCCCATTTGCTGTTTTATTTTGTGTGTGTTGTTGTTATTTATTTGTGTTTATAGGGGTCTGGGCACACATGCCATGTTGTGCATGCAGAGGTCACGGAACAGCTTGTCTCTGCCCATCATGTCAGTCCAGGAATTGAACTCCAGTTGTCACACTTGGTGGCAAGCACCTTCCCCTACTAAGCCTTCCTTTAAGTTTTTTGGGGGAGGTGTCTTTTGTTGTTGCTATTTTTTTCAAGACAGGGTTTTCTCTGTGTATCCTGGATGTCCTGGAGCTCAACTCTACAGACCAGGCTGGCCTCAAACTCAGAGATCCTCCTGCCTCAGCCTCCGAGTGTTAGGACTGAAGGTGTCTGTAACTGTAGCTTTTTTCTGGGGGGTGTTTTTTGTGTTGGAGGGACAGGATCTTATCTGTAGTTCCGGGTAGCCTGGAACTCACTATATAGAACAGCCAGCCCCAGGCTTGGGATGATTCTCTTGTGTCTGCCTCCTGAGTTCTGGAACTCTTGAGTAGGTGCCACCACGCCTGACTGTCATAGCCTTCAAATGCTATGTCAGAAATAGGTGATCCTTAGTTCAGTGCCAACAAAGACCCAAGCAAGCTGCTTGCAGCTGTTCAGGACCATGCCCTGCTTCTTTGAGTACAGCAACTTCACTCTGTAAATTTTACACAGTATTAGGTGGCTAGGTAAGCCAGGTGCTGTGGCACAGGCCTTTGATCCCAGTACTCCAGAGTCAGAGGCAGGATGATCTCTGAATTCAAGGCCAGCCTGTCTACAAAGTGAGTTCCAGGACAGTTAGGGCTACATAGAGTGACCGTGTGTGTGTGTGTGTGTGTGTGTGTGTGTGTGTGTGTGTGAGAGAGAGAGAGAGAGAGAGAGAGAGAGAGACAGAGACAGAGACAGAGACAGAGAGCGCGCTGGTTAAGTGTATCTTACCTCAGGGCCTTTACCGTGTAGTTTTTTTTTTCTAACTGCAACATTCTTTCCTCGGATATCCACTAGGCTCAACCTCTGAATTCAAGTCACTGCTTGATTTCATGACCTCCAAGAAGCCCTCCTATCATTACTATACCGCATGACTTTTAACTGCTTTTGGGCACAGGGTCTCTATGCAGCCCAGGTTATCCTCAAACTCTCTTCTCAGCCCCCTGAGTGCTGGGATTTCAATGTGATCCACCATTGTGTGGCTTGACACCCTCTCAGCAGAAATCACTTCTCTGTTAATAGTTATCACTTAACTAGCATTTCGTATAGTGTTGACTCTTTGTGGTATGTATCCTCAAATACATCAGTTCTCTGAAGGGAAAGGAATCTGTCTTGTCCTCCACTGTATCTAAGAGTCCACCCCAGGAAGAGCTCTCATTAAACAGTGATTGCGATGGGCAGGTATGGCAGCAAGCCTGTTAATGCCAGTCTTGGAAGGTGGAGGAGCTGGCTAGTGGGTCTAGCCCCATCAGTGAGCTCTGGGTTTGATTGACTGAGCCTGCCCAGGACACATCAACTTTAGACCACCACATACATGCAAACATGCATTCCTACACGCATGCAGACAACATATGAACATAGAACAAACTTGTTATCATGGCTCTCAATTCACAGGAAGAGATTTGGTTCAAACTGAGAACATAGGCTGGCTTTCTGGCAGTTTCCTCTCTCCCACATGCCTTCTGTGTAAGTGAGTTCCAAGTCCTGAGTTGGTGCTTGCATTCTGTCACATCCGCTAACTCCTCAGTTGTTAATGGGCAAAAACTGCACGAAGACCAGAGGCTGGGCATAGAATACCATTCAACATCTCACCGCCTACCAGCTGCGTGACCTCAGGTAGGGAGATGAACCTTTCTGAACTGCCTAGCAAAGGGGCCAGTGAGCTGGCTCAGTGTATAGAGATGCTTGCTGTGTAAACTGACTTCAATCCAGAGACTCCACAGTGGAAAAGAGATTTCTGAAAGTTGGCTCATGATCTCTACCCCCACACTCGTGTGCAGGTACACACAAGTAAGTAAAGACTCGAGACATTAATGAGAAGGACTGTGGGGCGTGGTGGCACAGCCCTTGAATCCCAGCACTCAGGAAGCAGAGGCAAGTGAATCTCTTGACAGTCTGATCTACAGAGGACAGCCATGGCTACACAGACAAACCCTGTCTCAAAAAACTAAGAGAGAGAGAGAAGCTGCCTAGTGTGATCATGCCTGTGCCCTCCCTTTCTCAATGGCTTCCCAGAGCACATCTCTTTCCCCCATGTAGCCAGTTTTTTGAGACTGGCTCTCACACAGCCCAGACTGGCCAAGGTAAACCCTGAACTCCTGATCCTCCTGCCTCCACCTCACTAGTGCTGGGATTACAGCATGTACTGCTACACAAGGACCATACACGCCAAGACCAAATGTGGTCTGGCTTCTATTGATCTCGCTGATCTCATCTAAATGATAATGGTGATCATAGGAAATGTCTTTTGTGTAATCTTTCTGTTCTAATCCATCCTCAAACCCTCAAACTTCCTTCAGCTTTCCAACCGGGCCAGGCTATCCTGTCTCCGTGCGGCTGCACAGGCCTTTCCTCCCATTAGGATGACTTTCTGAGCTCTTTGTCCACACTTTTTGTGTGTCAGTTCTGACATCATCTTCTCCCATTAGCCCTCCTCTGCACCCCCGAGCCTGGGTGAGGTATATGCCTCTGGCTCACTCAGGCCCTGGGTTCCCCTGCTTTATGCCTGTCACCTTGAGCCACTCTTTTCTCCACCGGGGAACGGGGAACAGTGTCAATCATTGGTGTCAGCACAGGGCAGGCGTTTGAGGGAAGAAAGTGGCCTAGAGACCATGGCTCAGTGACTGTTGTGCTTAACTAGCATGCACAGTGTATGGATTCCACCCCCAGCACTGCATGAAGCCAGGCATGGTTCTATCTACGTTCTCGAAATCTGAGGACTAGGGAGGTAGAGGCAGAAGGAGCGTAAGTTCAAGGTCAGCCTCAGGTATGATGGGAGTTCAAGGCCAGCCTAGGGTACATGAGACAATCTCATTGGGGTAAAAAAAATCCAGAGTGAATGCTGAGCAGGAGGGAGGTCTCCACAGCAGCTCCTCAGACATGACCTTGAGGAAGTCCCCAGGCTTCTCCAAGCCTTGGTTTACAGTGGCAAAGCAGTATGGACCACGCACTGTTGACGGTCACCTAACTCCACAGGCTGGCCATGCACTCAGGAGATGCCATAGCTAGCGATTTGCCTGTATCACCTGACTTAAGTTTTCACAGAAACCTTGGAGGAAGAAACTTACTTTTTGGTTCTACCCTGCAGGAGCAGAAGTGAGAGAACACTAACTGGGGTGGCCCTGTCCGGGGACAACGTGACTAACACACTAAATTCTGCACGGAAGCCTCCCCTCACCCCATCTCTCTCTCACCCCAATGCCTGCCCATGGCTCTCAGACTGGTCGTGAACTCACTCGGTAACCCAGGGCGGGCACTGAGCCCCCCCGAGCCTCTTGCCCCAGCCCTCCACAGTAGCTGGGGAAAAAGGCCACCACTTTCAGGCTCCCCCAGCTCCCCCCATCCCCACTGAAATCCCACCTGGCTGATGATAACATTCCAGCTACGGACCCTGAGCCAAGCCTCCTAAGACTGGTTCCATGCCTACCTCTGGCAGTTATCAAGGGGCTTTGGAACCACCAGAAACAATCCGTTTTCTTTTCTCTTTTAAATTGTTATTTTGGGGAGGCAGGATCCCGCAGTGCTCGGAGTTGCCTCTACCTCGCTAAGCACACAGGCTACCGTTGAACTTCCTGGTGTTGACATTACAATCATGTGCCACCACACACAGCTATCCAGTATGGGGATCTGACCCAGGAAACCCTGAAAGCTAGAAAAGACACTCTACTGACTGGGCACCCCCAGGCAGCGGCGTCTCCAGTAGCGCAGGCTAGCCTTGAAGTCCCGTTTCTTCTGCCTTCAACTCCCAAGTCGTTTTCTTTCTCTGATCTTAAAGCCCCAGTTCTAAGATGGGAGCGGCAGCACTCACCTAGGAGTTTTTTTGCGAGAATGCCATGAACACGCCTGAAGGATCTGGGCGTGAACTGCGCACTGTGGGCTTCGGGAGTGTTTGCGGTTGTTACAGTTGTGAAAAGCGCTGGCTTTGGGACTCACCTGCCCGTCGGTTAGGTCTGCGGTCTTCTGACAGCACATACCGCTGCGTACCGGAGGTCGGAACCTGAGGCTGGGACGAGGCGGCTGCCGGGGACTCCTCAGCCCCGGCGCCCGCCACGCCCGGCCCTAGGATGGCGAAAATAGTCTCCTCCTCCGCGGAGAAGGCGTCCTCGGCGGCGGGCCCCGCGCCCTGCGTGGAGTGCGGCACGCGAGCCAGCTTCTCCTTGGTGCGGCGCTTGAAGTCATTCCAGCGCTTCTGGACCTCCTGGCCGGTGCGCTTCCAGCTGGTGATGCCGTTGATCTTGGTGGCGATGCTGTCCCACACTCGCCGCCGCTCGGCCACGCTCACCCGACGGCTCTGCGCGCCGTAGAGCTGAGGGTAGTGGGCACGCACCTCCCTGATCAGGATCTGGTTCTCCTCGAAGGAGAAGCGCGGCTTGCGGAGCCGGGTGGTCTCCTCCGCTTCGCCCGGCGCCGCCGCCGCGGTCGCCGAGGCCATGGCGCCCCCAGACGCCACCGATCGGCTGCCTGGCGCATGGGGGGCGCCGGCTCTGCGGGCAAAGGGCGAACAGCGCTGGCGGGGGCTTGGTGTCCCCGTGTCGCCCCGACACGGGCTCCTCCGGTCTCCTGTACAAAAGTGGTGATGGGAGCGGCGCGGTGCTGAGTGTAATCAGAGGCGCTTCCTAGTAGGTGACACCCGCCCAGTGCCCATCTTGTGCTTCACGCGGCCACCGAGTGCCTCGCGGAGTTGATGGGTATTAGGGGGACAGTCTGGAAGGATGGAGGGAAATGAGCAAAAGTGGAAGGGAAAAGGGTGTCACTGCAGGAGTTAGAAGAGAACGGGGGCGCAGAGGAACAGGACAGGGAAAGATAATCGGGGATGCCCTGGGGTCGAACATGCATGAGTTTGGGAAGTGATGCCACCCGGGCAATGCAGCAGCCAGGGGGGGGGCTCAGATCAGAGGGGAGCGTTGGGAAGGGGGCTCCTAGGGCAGTGGGTTCCCGTTCTAGGGTCCCTGAGAGAGGATGTCCAGGAATAAAGGTGAAATGGGGGCCTCTGGATAAGACCGTGAAATATCAAGGCTGAGGGTCTGCAGGGATTGTGGGGGTGCTGGGGTGGCCGGGAATGAAGGGGAGCTCTGGAGATAACGGGGGTCCGAGGTGAGAAGGAGACCCCCGACGCTTTTGGGAACTCCAAAAGAGTGATGGAGCACAGAGGATGGGGACCCCAGTTGGGCCGCGGGGTCACTCACCGGCGCCACCGCAGCCCCTGCCTGGCGGTGGGTCAGGGCTTCGGCTTCTGCGGCCTCTTCCCTCCCCCCCGCCTCTCCCTCCCCCTCTGGGCCCCGCCCCCAGTAGCACCGAGCGCCAAGGCGCATGCGCGCCGGGTGAACACGGTCTCCAGATTCTGACCGCCTGGGCTGTGTTCTCTGCGCCTAGCCGCTCAGCAAGGCGCAAGCGCAGAACTGCCCATCGCCTGGCTTCACCGGGATACGGCTGCGCAGCCGCACAACTAGCGCTAAACTAGATTCCAAGGGCTTCTGGTGCCCAATGGCGCATGTGCAAACTTACAGTGCGCATGCGGGTCGCTGGCATCTTGCCTGCGGTGATACCCAGGACTAAATCCCAGTGCGGGCTCAGCAGAGGAAGGTGGTAGGGAGAACGCTAGAACCAAGCAAGCTGAGTCTCCTCCTTTTGGGTAGTCCTCTAGCTTACTCTTCTCGCTAAACGAAGTCTTTTCTATTAGGGAAAAGGGAGGAAACGCTGGGGGACTAGAGCTTCGTTTCCATGACAACTGCGTGGGTGGGATTGGGGAGGCGTTAGGAAACCTCGCTGCCCACGCCTAATCACGCCCCTGCGCAGGATCGCTAGGAAACTACCTCCTACGGGTTGAGGCGGGGCACCCTGGAGCTATTCCCCGCCTATGCAGAGGCGGTAACCATAGCAACCCAACAACTTCCTAATCACGCCTGGGAGGGCCCCTGTCCACAATTTGACGTCATGGCTCGGAAAGGTAGTTCAAAGGCAGGAATTTGTTGGAGGAGGGTGGGCACGGCGATCCTGGCCTTGGCCCATTTTAATCAAAAGCGCAGAGCAGGAATGAATCCAGAGCACCGCTTGGATGAACTGGATAGTCAGATAGCTGGACGGCTGAGTTCAGCCTCACGAAAATCATCAGGGCTAGCTGGTGAAAAATTTCAAAGTCATTGTGTAGCCGGCGCATCATCTGTCCTTCTGGTGCTCACTTACAAAGATTGTTTTTGAAGGCATCTTAGTAGTCTCCCAGGCTGGCACTGAGCTTGCAGCAATAATCTCGCTGCAGCCTCCAGCGAGGCTAGGACAAGTATGTGTCGCCAACACTTAAGGAAAAGGTGACACAGGCTGGGAAAAGGGGCTAGAGAGATAGTTCAACAGTTAAGCCCTCTCCCATGAGGGCCGGAGATCTCTGCACCCAATCGCAGGGCTCTTAACCATCCTTAGTTACAGGACCACGTGGTGCACAGACACACAAGCAGGCAAAGCACTCACATACATTAAAAAGACTTTGGGGGCTGCTTTGTTGTTGTTGTTGTTGTTCTGAGACAGCATTTCTTTATGTAGCCTTGGCTGTCCTGGAACTAGCTCTGTGAAAGACCAGGTTGGCCTCGCCTGCCTGCTGGGATTGACTAGAGGAAAACCGCATCAACTCCCGGCCTAACATCTTAGGGTTCATGGTGTGTATCTGCTTGTGGGTGCTGGGGCCGTAGGTGCAGGAGGGCACCCCTGCAGCTGGCTCCCCCTGCCTCTGGCTCCGGAGTGTTGAAATTCAAGGCGGGAGTGCCTCTACTACTTAATACTGGCTTATACCTTTTTTTTTTTTTTTTTTAACAGTTTTGTGCTGGGGAGCTGAAGGAGTAAGATTCAGATCTGGCAGTTCCTGGTCTCATAAGGCAGGAGGGGAACCCATGGGTAATCAGAGCTGTAGAGCCCTGGGTTCACTCTCTAGTGAACAGGAAGGAAAAAAAGAAGAAGAAGGAAGAAAAACAAACAAAACACAGAACTTGAGCCGGTCGAGGTGGCCTAATGGGTGAAAGCTACCTGCCACTAAGCTTGAGACCCGAGTTCAGTCCCAGGCCCCAGGGCATGGCAGAGAGAAAGTCAGCTCCCTTGAATTACCTGGTCCCACCCACACCCTCTTTTCTCTTTTGTTTTTCAAGACAAAAGAGGGGTTTCTCTGTGTAGCCCTGGCTGTCCTGGAACTCATGCAGAACAGGCTGGCCTCAAACTCACAGAGATGGATCTGCCTCTGCCTCCTGAGTTCTGGAAGTCGTGCATGCAGCACCACCTGGCCTTTGCACAGGTTGGTTTATTATTATTATTATTATTATTATTAAAAAAGAAAAAAAGCAGTGTCTCGGTGGAAGCTGAGAAGTATTTGGGAACGTGTCCCCAGACAGACACCCTGTGTTGGAAGACATATGAGGCAGGACTGGAGTGCAGGTCTGACTCCTTCCTGCTCCTCCAATGGTTCCCAGGGTTTTGCAAATGCAGCCTTCCAGTCCCCTCCTTCACTTCTGTCTCCCAAAGGCACAGCCCACCAAGTTGGCCAACCAAGTTAAAAGATTACAGGCACTAGGGTCTCAAAACTAACTCTAAAACTCTTTATTCACCAGCGCTCACAGCCCCATCCTCATAAAATCTCCAAACCCGCTTGCTAAATAATGAACAACAAACTCAACTGGAGTTCTCCCTTGAGCCTAACAGTAAAATACAAGCAGGCGCTGTTCTGATGGGGTCTCACTCTTTTGGCTGTGGGACACACACTGACCTAATACACTCAAGTAACAAGATGGGGGGTGTCAAACATCTCTCACAGGAACCCATCAGTGATTGGGGTTTGGAGGCAGGAGTAGAGTGAAATGGGATTAGCACTGAAGCAGGGGGAGCTATGGGCTTCAGCACTCAAGGCAGGAGGCAGTCTGTGAAGTTACAAAGGTCTGGCAGGCTTCCCAGAGGGCCCTGACCCTCCTCTAGTTCAAGGAACTGAGGGCTGATCTTGAATGGTCCACGGGGAAACCTGAGCCTGCAGATGCTGAAGAAGGTGAAGATAGATGGACGGCATCACAGTACCAACATCAAGTTCTTGAGAGTGCCAGTCTGGGCCAGTCTCTGGCACTGTCCCTGGGTTCTGAAGGCAGGCCCATCAGAGCACAGAGCACACTGAATGCGATTCTACATGGTGGGGAATCCAAGGATCCCCCCAGGGATCTTTTCTGGGGAGCCAAGAAGTCAAAGAGGCCATCTTAGTGTCATCAGCAGGCCCTCACGATCCAAAGGAAGCCACCAAGAGGCGCGGTCCCTGGAGAAAGGCTCTCCCGGTATCAGGAATCTGAGACAAGTGGTCCCGGCTGCCAGCACCTCCCTTTGTTTCATGATCCTGAAAGTAGAGAACACCGGGATGCAGGGACCCCCCAGAGGACTGGGTGAGCAGAGGACATGGAAGTAGGGTCAGAGGCTAGGAGGGTTTTGGGGTGTAGGTGGTAGGTACCTGAAGGGTCTTACTTATCGCTTGACTTTGCGCCCCGCCGAGTTTCGTCCACTGCGACGGTAAAGGGACTTCTGGCTGCTGTTGAGCGGACAGTACTTGAGCGTGTGAGCCTGGTCCCCGGTGGCCCCGCACAAAGGACACACGTAGTGCCTGAGGATGGGACACGCCACCACTCCCTCAGGGGTCTTCAGCTGGTGGGAGGCGTAGACGTGGCGGGACTCTCCGTTGTGCTTGCAGAAGTTGCACAGGGCAGCCGGGTTTCCCGACAAGACCCCCAGGCCCTCCTCCCTCATCTCCTGGGGCCTGGGGTTGAGTTTCTCGGCCCCCTCACCCTCCAGTCTCTGCCCCCAGCCTTGAATTAAACCCAGAAGCACCTGGCTCAGGTTAAAGTAGTCTCTCCACATGTCAAAGGGTGGGAAGTCCATGACACCTCTCTGTGGCCAGTGGCTGTGGGCACTGGGGGGGACTGGGGGGACAGGCCGTGAGGTCAGAGGGCAGGAGCGGCAGGAGTTCTGTGGAGCAGACAGGAGGCACACCCCCTTATAAATACTCCCCAGAGCCCACTCTGAGCAAAGGTGGAGCTTAGATTTAAAGGGCCCACTTGCAGCCCAGGTCCTCGGTGGACTCCAGTCTCCCAGAGAGAGGGTTGCCCCTCCTCCAAGGCGCTCTGTGTTTTCTGGGAAGGACCTTCTAGTCCCTGGGCCTCAAGTTCCCTCCTGTTCAGTGCAGGGCTTCCCATGTGTCTGTTGATCACCCTCAACTTCTACCTTTCCTCCCTCCCCCCTATTCCGCTCCTCCCTTTCTCTCTCACTTCCTTCTTCCTCCCCACCTCCCTTTTGGGTCATCCGGAACCTTATGACTTGACCTAATTTGTTTTTGTTTTTTGAGACTATGTAGCCCTGGCTTGCTCTGTAGACCAGGCTGGCCTCAAACTCACAGAATCCAGCTGCCTCCGCCTCTCAGATGCTCAGATTAAAGATGTGCCCACCATGTCCAGCTTACATATTTTTTTATTACGTTTATTTACATAATGGCGTGGGGCAGTGTGCCACAGCTTACATGTGGAAGACCTTACAGGAGGCAGGTCCTTCCCCCACGTGCATTCCAGGGACCAAGTTCAGGTTGTCGGGCACTTTGCCAGCTAAGCCATCTCACTGCTCTGATGTGGGTTTTGTTGTCTGGTATAGGGTTTGTTGTTGTTGTTGTTTTGTTTTGTTTTGTTTGTTTTTTTTTTTGAAACAGTGTTATGTCTTAATACATAGTCCACGACTCTGACTCTCCATCCTTCAATTAAGGTACCCGGGAGCGGCCTTCGGCTCTGTGTTGTTTCAGTCTTGAGTGTGGGGAGATGACAAACACAGGGTTGGGTGTGAAGCTCAGTGGTAGAGTAGCTTATCTAGCATGCTAGCGTCCCCAGGTGGGATGCCATATGGGCCTGGTACCATATACCCATCATGTCATCCCCATACTTGAGAGAATCGGAAGTTCAAGGCCATCCTCAGCTACGTGTAGCCAGTGTGAGGCTGATTTGATTCAATAGGGGACGGAGATGGCTCAGCAGTTAAGAGTTTTACGATTTGGCATATGATCCAAGTTAAGGTCAGTTGGCACACTACCACCTGTAACTTCAGCTCCAGGGGACTGAGACGCCTCTGACCGATATGGGCACCTTTATTAAAAGTAATAAAGGAGGCTGGAGAAATGGCTGAGCTGTGAAGAACACTTGCAGTTCTTACAGAGGAACTAGGTTCGGTGCCCAGCACCTACTCTGGGCAGCTCACAACCATCTGTAACTCCCACTTCAGGGGATCCAATGCCCTCTTCTGGCCTCTCTGGGAACCTGTATATATGTGGTGCACAGAAATCAAGAAGGCACACATATACAATTCACACACACACACACACACACACACACACACACACACTACCCGCACACATGTTTTAAAAAATTAGAAATAGTCATCTAAAGAAAAAAACTAAACAAACTAATGAACAAATGCCCCACACTCCGGGATGCATTCCGAATTCCAAGCATTCTCTTTTGAAATTGTTTTTTGTTTTTTGAGCTGTAGCCTGGGCTGACCTCGAACTCCTGCCTCACTTTTTGTTTGTTTTGTTTGTTTTTTGAGACAGGGTTTCTCTTTGTAGCCTTGGCTGTCCTGAATGCGATTTGTTGACCAGGCTGGCCTCGAACTCACAGAGATGTGCCTGCTCTGCCTCCCCCAGTAGTGCTGGGATTACAGGCATGTGCCACTTCTAAAGACCTCACGTCTAACTGCTGGAGTAGGCATGAGTCACCAGGCTTATGGACATTTTTTTTTTTTTGCTTATATGTGTGTGTATGTTATATATGTTTGCATATTGCATATGTTTGTGTTGTATATGTGTGTTGATATGCGTCTGTGTTGTTCGTGTGTCTGTATCGTTGATGTGTGTGTGTCGTATGTGTGTTGATGTGGATCTGTGATGTGTGTGTTGATATCTGTATGTCGTGTATGTATGTGCTGATATGTGTGTCTGTGTTGTGTATGTGTGTGTGTTGATGTGTGTCCGTGTTGTATGTGTGGTGCCCATACTGCAGCATGCCGTGGTCAGAGGGTAGCTGTCAGACATCAATTCTATCCTTCCACCATGTGGGCCCTGAGGCTGTCCTCAGGTTGTCCGGCCAGAAAGCAAGGGCCTTTCCCCTCTGAGCCAGCTAGCCAGCCCAGCCTTAATTGTTACAACCGCCCTTAGGATGAGCGCAGTTACCTACATAAACGGATCTAACCTCACACGTCCGAGAGGGGAAGACAGCTAAGAGCCTGTGTTACAGATGAGCAGCTGAGGCTCAGAGTGGGAAATTCACGGGTCTGGAGTCACACAGCACGCAGGTCAGAGACCTGGGATGGAAACCAGCACGGACCGTAAGGTGCCTGGGGCCTTTGAAGGCCATCATCAGGTGTGGAGGTGAGGACTCTATTCCTTTCTTGTCACAGAGAATATGAGGCTCAGAGACAAGAAGGCGCACACCCAAGATCACAGACGGGGGAGGCGGCAGAGCTAGCACTGAGATCTCCGGAGTATGTTGGTGTGTGCATGACTTTTTGCTCCCACTCCCACCCCCCACTCCCAGATAAGGCCCAAACCCAGGGCCTTGAGCTTGTTAGCTAGGCAAACACTCTGAGCTAAAACCAGCTCTCGGTGTGTTTATTTTGGGGGTGAGGTCTCACATAGCCCAGGCTGGCCTCGAACTCTCTGTGTAGCTGAGGAGTGCCTTCAACTTTTGATCCTCTTGCCTATACTCACCAAGTACTAGGCTTATAGGTGTGCACCGCCACACCGAGTTTTTGTGCGTGCGAGGTTAGTATTCTAACAGCTGAGCCAAATGACCAGCTCCCTTTATGTGTCATTTTAGGGTGACCTCAGCACCTGCTCAGAGCAGCCTCTGCCACTGTTTTTGTAAAGCTGCAGCCTTGCCTAAGAAGACACGCTCACCAAGAGTGGACTATGATACCTTATGTGGTAGCAAATGCCTGGCACCCCAGAACTGGACAGTAGAGGCAGGAGGAACATAGGGAGTTCCAAGCCAGCCTGGGCTCCGAGACCCTGGGCTCCGAGACCCTGTATCAAGAGAACAAGCAGCTGGGCAGTAAAGATGCATTCCCTAAATCCCATCACGCAGGAGGCAGATGCTGGTGGATCTCTGAGTTTGGAGGCCAGAACTACTGAGTTTCAGGACAGCTAGGGCCACACAGAGAGAAACTGTCTCAAAAACACCAAAAGCCAAGACGCTGTTGTGGGCTGTGGCTCCCTCATACAGACGGGCAGAGGGAGACTCCAGAGAGCCTGAGGATGAGCTCTGTAGGTGGTGGAGGTGAGGTGGGACCCAAAGCCACAGTAACCTGTCCCAGATCCAGGCACTCTCCAGTCTCATGAACCTGCACAGAAAGTGTAGTCAAGGGAGAAGAACAAGGAGGTGCCATAATCCCAGCAGAGGCAGAAGGATTGCTGCAAGTTCAAAGCCAGCCTGGGCTGCAGGGTGAGGCTTATCTCAAAAGATGTCAAGGTAACCGGGGGAGTTGGGGGAGGCTTGCCCACTGTACACTGGGCACGCTGAGGCGTGAGGACATGTGTGAGGACATGTGTGAGGCGCTGGTTTTTCACGCAGAATCAATCAGGGACAACCTTCCAGGCCGAGGAGACACACTGGCTTCTGTATGGAAGAGCCAGGCTTCTGGTGCAAAGCCCAGAACAGGCACCAGGTGTCTGCCCTAAGCAGAGGTGGGGCAGGGTGGCTGAAGTCTGTAAGTCCAGTGCATGGAGGCTGAGGCAGGAGGGTCGTGAGTTCTAATCCACGTTGGAGACGCAGGTGGATCTCTGTGACTTTAAAACCAGGCGGGTCTGCAAGGCATTAGGTCAGGTGAGGGTCTCAAAAAGGGGAAAAAAATAGCCACAGTGGTGATTTTTAGGGGGATGCTGAGCCTCCTGCACACAGCAGCGCCTGAGCATGACAGTGCTCACTGTAATTGTGGGTCTGAGAGCCACAGTGCCTGCCTGCCTCCCTTCTTTATTTTCCCTTGTTTCATATCTCATATTGTTACTTAGCTGGGGCTGCTCTTCCTTCCAGGCCTCTGTTTGTGGTTTATTTTATTTACTTATTTATTTTTTTGTATGTTTGCAGGCACCCCCTTAGATAAGCCTGCTCTGTGGGTGGTATAGACTGGAGTGGGGGAACAACCCGGAGGTGAAATTGATGAGAAACTGCCCAGCCTGGTGTTTACCGTGTGGGGTTACTGCCCACGCCCTGGCCCTGCAGGGCCCCACAGCTCTGTTTACTTCTGAGTTTCCTCTTCAGCCTGACACCCCCCCCCCCCCCCCCCCCCCCCCCCCCCCCCCCCGCCTCTGGCTAGAAAACAGATCAAATGGGGTTTCAGACAGGTGGATGGGGCCATGGATTACAGCCCTTCAGAAAGGCAAGCACTAAGGAAAAATTAGGAGAATTACCCCCACTTTCCAGATGGAGATTCTGAGGTCCATGTTCCACAGAATCATAAAGCCACAACTACAGCTTATTAATTTATTTTAATTAAGCTTTAACTTTTTTTTTTTTTTTTTTTTTTTAAAAGACTGGGTCTCACTATATAACCCAGGCTGGCCTTAATCAGGGATCCTCCTGCCTCAGTTTCCCAAGCTCCTAGACTACAGGTGTGCACCATTATATCCAGCTATATGCTTCTTTTTAAAAATGTGAAGGCCAGCAAAATGGTTCCGTGGCTAACGACTTTGGCCACCAAGCCGGCCACCTGAGGGTGATCCCCAGGGTCCACACGGTGGAAGTGGAGAACCAATCCCTGGAATTTGTCCTCTGACCTCCATGTGGGGCATACGCCTCACCTCCAAATAAATACATAACTAGATGAGGTCTTAAGTCTTGGAAAAAGTTCTGTTAAACCAGATTCTGTGGTACACATTAGTCATTCCAGT